TCACCTCCTCAGTGGCCCTGCCACTCTGACAGATGAGTAGTCATTTGTCATGTCTTGTTCACTTGGACTTCAACAATGACTAAAAATACAAAAAATTAGCTGGGCATGGTGGTGGGCGCCTGTAGTCCCAGCTACTTAGGAGGCTGAGGCAGGAGAATGGCGTGAACCCGGAAGGCGGAGCTTGCAGTGAGCCGAGATCGCACCACTGCACTCCAGCCTGGGAGACAGAGCAAGACTCTGTCTCAAAAAAATAAAAAAATAAAACATTCTATTTGATTTGAAATGGAAATAACAAAAAGTACAATTACTATAATTTCAACTACTAATTAAGCAAGCACAGAAGAAATCTATGACATGAAAAGAATCATCTACATACAGTATCACCTTCCTCCTGATTTTAATGTGAACCACCAACTGTTTTCAGACGAGCTCTAATTTAACTGAACAAGAGATCACTGGCAAGGTTATTGAATTACCAATATTTTCCACTGTGATTCATTTTAATGTATAATTGATTTTACCATGAATGTAAAAAGTGTTTTTCTCCTTTATATATTTTAATAATAAATTGAATTTTTAAGATATGCCACCAGGCGCGGTGGCTCACGTCTGCAATCCCAGCACTTTGGGAGGCCAAGGCAGGCAGATCAGCTGAGGTCAAGAGTTCAAGATCAGCCTGGCCAACATGGTGAAACCTCATCTCTACTAAAAATACAAAAAAAATTAGCCAGGTGTGGTGGCACACACCTGTGGTCCCAGCTACTCAGGGAGGTTGAGGCAGGAGAATCACTTGAACCCAGGAGGCAGAGGTTCCAGTGATTACACCACTGCACTCCAACCTGGGTGACAGCGGGAGACTCCGCCTCAAAAAAAAAGCATCATTCTGCTTTGATAAGAGATGGAAGTCTGTTCTTAAGGATTTCTAAGAGTGAAAATCTTATTGTCTTGTGTAAAACTCCACTGGGACGAGCATCAGAATCAAGGAGTGACCTTCTCAAACCCCTGGACTCTTTTTGCCTATGTGAACTAAAGGATGATAAGAAGCTGTCATTTTAACCCCCACAGTGACAGTTTCCTCACAACTGAATTCTAATCTTGAGCACTGCACTTCCCAGAATGTTCTGGACAAGGCCTGGTACCATCCCTGCTGCAGTCCCTGGAGGGAGAGCAGGGTGTCTCCTTGGGGCTGACGTGGAGTCTCCGGGGCACGAGGGAGTTTCTGCGGGGAGGATGACAGATCTGTTCACTTGCGGACTGGACACAATTCCTTACTGTAGGCTACCCTCTGGATGTGAATTCTAGATCCACAGGTAATTAACAGCAGACATTCCTCTAAGATTATGTCTGTCTGTAGTTGTGTTGGTTTGAAAAGTGTTTTGGTCATTTGAGTCTTCATACTTGGCAAACAAACAAAAATAAACTGGAAAAAAATTCTGAATTTGTAAAGCGGTATCAGTGGTGTAGATACATTCTAACATCAACAAAGTAAGAGACGGGCCAGCATCTGGGGAGCCAGCAGGTTTTGTCCTACTTCCCCACCTGCCTGTGTCGCTGTGAGAAGCATCGCTGGTTCAGGCATAACAGTAATAGCCTTGTACTCAAGCTGGGGCCCAGAGATGTGAAGAATCCCTGCATTTTCAGGGCATCTTTGGTTCCAAAAGAAACCTGGGCGCCGGGCCTTTGCGTTCTTTAATGTGAGACGCGGTAGCTCAGAGATGCCTGGGGGCGGGCCCTGCATCCAGCGTCCACCCGTCACCACCTGAAGCCACTGCGCTCAGGTACGGGCAGTCCTCGGCAGATGCTCCTGGGTTGCAGACGAGGGAAGGCGCGAGTCCAGACAGCTGGAGAGGGAACCTGCACGACCGCCACGTCGCTGCGGGTGGTCAAGGACAGGTCAAAGATTCCACAACTTAAAGTATAACAAATATACAATAAACTTAAAAAAAAAAAAAAAAAAAGATTCTCAGGCAAGATCCAGAAGAGATGAAAACAGACTGGGGGGGCGGCTGCCCTGGGCCTTCGAGGGCGTCCTACCTTGCGAGAAAGGACCTAGGCAGGAGAAACCTCCAGCCGTGTGCACGCCCCTCTACGCTCCACAAGGCGGCTTGGGCGTCCCAGGCTTGCTCTAAT